CTCTCTCTCTCTCTCTCTCTCTCTCTCTCTCTCTCTCTCTCTCTCTCTCTCTCTCTCTCTCTCTCTCTCTCTCTAAAGCATCTATCTCCCTCTCTCTCTCTCTAAACGAACGGGGCACGCAGCCACGTCTTGGTCGACTGTCACGACGACGTGAATCTATCGACAGTGACGAGCGCGTCTAGAGCGAGATAGAGGACGAGGCGGGGGGTGAAGAAGAAGAAGAAGAAGAAGAAGAAGAAGAAGAAGAAGAAGGGTGCAAGGGGGAGGAGGAGAAAGGTGACCAGGCGTAGAAGCGGGAAGGGGAGGTCTAAGGACGAAGGCGACGAGGGAGTTAGGAGGATGGAGTGGGGAGGCGCAAGGAGTGCGGGAGGGAGGACGGGCGAGGGAGGGAGGGAGGGCGAGCGAGCGACTTTTCTTTTTTTGGTTTTGTTATCTGAAAAGTTAAAATCAATCAATCAATCAATCAATCAGTCAATCAATTAATCAATCAATCAGACAATCAGTCGGTCGACGAATAAAAATCAACTAGGGTCTATCTTTATTAGTCGATCGATTAATTGATTGATTGATTGATTGATTGATTGATTGATTGATTGATTAATTGATTGATTGATTGATTGATCGATTAGTTGAGGAGGAAAGAGGAGCATGAGGCGGAGGAGGAGCACGTGTTTGGCGCCGCTGTGGTATGGACTGGATTGGTCGATTGATTGATTGATTGGTTGATTGATTGATTGACTGATTGATTGATTGACTGGTTGATTGAGTTTTAAAGTTGATAGTTGAAGTGGAGGAGTATTGTGGAGGGTCAGGTCGAGGGGGGAGGGAGGGTCGGGAAGGGTCGGGCGAGGGAAAAGCCGGACGATGAGGGAGGGAGGGAGGGAGGATGTGGAGAAGCAGGTGTTTTTTTTTAAAATATGGATGAATAATAAGATTGAGAATTCGAAGACGAGATGGAGGAGAAGGGTGCGGGTTGGAGGAGGTCGACGAAGAAGAAAAAGAAGTATAAGAAGGAAAAGAAGGAAAAGAAGGATGAGGAGAAGAAGAAGAAGAAGAAGAAGAAGAAGAAGAAGAAGAAGAAGAAGAAGAAGTGGGGGAGGTGACAGTAAAGCCGAGTCGGAGAGGGATGATCACGGGACCGGCATGTGGGCGGGAGGGAGGAGGAGGTTGGGAAGGAGGCGAGAGCTGAGGGGAGCCGCGTGGAGGGGAGTGGGATGGACGACGAGCAGAGAAAGGAGGAGGACGAGGAGAGAGGGAGGAGGACGAAAAGGAAGCAGGTTGGAGGAAGTGGAAGGAGAAGAAGAAGAAGAAGAGGCGAGGAGAAGAATATTGAAAACAGTGGGCCAAGACTGCTTCTCGTACAAGCATCGACAGAGAAGAAGAAGAAGACGAAGAAGGAGAAGAAAAAGTAGAAGAAGAGGTGGAGGACGGGGAGCAGGAGGAGGAGGAGGAGGAGGAGGCGGAGGAGAAAGCTGAAGATGAGTGACTGGGAAAGGCGTTTAGGAGGAAGGCGGGAGGTATGGACGAGGAGGGAGGAGGTTGCTGTCGCTGGTGACGTCTTTGGTTTGTTCTTTTTTTTCGTCTCTTTAGTTCATTGAATTTTGTTGTCTTTTCTTTACCTGTTAGGATAAATGCTCCAATCAATCAATCAATCAATCAATCAATCAATTAATCGATCAATCAATCAATCAATCAATCAATCGATCAATCAATCAATCAATCAATCAATCAATCAATCAATCAATCGATTGGGCATTCCATCAACCCATCAATCCAATCCATCAGTCCGTCAATGCATTAATCAATCAATCAGTAAATCCATTAACCGTACAGTCAATCAATCAATCATACACGCACGCACACACAGCCCCCCTTTCCCCACCTGTTTTCGATATTTGGGGGGCAATCAATCAATCACTCACACACACACTCACATACACATGCACACGCGCACGCACACGCACACGCATACATGGAAAGGCCAGGAAAGGTGATTTGGGTGAAAACCTCCCATCTCCATACCTTGGGTAGCCCTCAGAAGAAAGCGCAATTAGCCCCCCTTGTCATTGTTTTTTAACCTTTTTTTTCATTTTTCGGGGGGTCGTTTCCGGTTTATCCCGATTTAAACCAGATGCCAGATTTTCCCAGGACGGTATTCCGGTCAATTTATCCGGCCGGAAAAAATAAAAAATAAAATGCCGTGCTACTTGGCTCCCGGCCAATTTATTATTATTATTTTATTTTTTAAATTATTTGGACCATTTCTCTATTTATGCGTGTCATCCTTGAGTGCGCAGGGGCCATTTGCTAATCTCCATTCTCTCTGTATGGTTCCAATTTTAACGGATGTCCCGAAGGACCTCCCGTCCCTACTTTCTCCCACCTCCCAGAGTAAAGTAGGCCAGGTAGTGACAGGACGGGCAATCCTATTTTTAACCAAAAAGCTTTCCCCCTAACTCCCCCTATCAGACAAGAAAGGATTCTTCTTTCCCCCTGCCTCCCCTATCTCGCCGGATCCAAAAGACAATGATCCTTATTCCTCCMCCCCCCCCCCCTGATATAGGGCAGTTTCTCCACCCTGTTCGTTCTCTCTTATGCCCTTTGTTGTGGTTGATATTCTTACCTATCTCTTGCCTTGCTTGCATCCCTTTTGCCGCCTGCCCAATATCTCTATAGACGCTATTGAAGACGTGTGTAGGTCGATCATAGCACCATTATTTTGAAAAACCGAGTTCTTTTTTTTTTCTTTCCCTTCTGTTTTCAATGGGGGGGGGTCCCGGGGGTTGACTCCGAGTTCTTTTTTTTT